GGCGGGTGTCGCGCCGGGGCGGTCTGCAGCGAGGTGAGCCTGTGCGCCCGATGCTGGGCTGCAGAGAGAGGACTTTGCGAGAGCCCTCTTCCAGGAGGGGCTGTTTGAAAAGGGTACTGAAACAGCAGGCAGCTCAACCTTTCTTAACCCTTCCTAACGACATCTCTCTCTTGCTGCTTTGCAACTAGATCGGCGCCGCAGGAGAGGAGCTCAAATCCAGCTGTTGTTCTCGGAGCCAGCTCAAACCGCTGAGGAGACCTCGCTGAATCCCCGGATTTCTGATCGTGGTGCTCTGGAACCCTCAGTGCTATGCTCTCCTACCACATGCTGACTATAAGGCATCCATCCAAGGTAACGTACCATCTGCTATTAAGTTGGTCTAATGTGCTTTGAAAAGGAAAGGGAGGACAAACAAGATTCCGGGATTCTTCAGTGCTTTAGTGAGTTTCTGGGTTTGGTTTCTGAAACTGAAAAAAATTATAGTTCATATGGAAAACACTGGTATTTACTTATTTGAGAAACTCCTTCCCTTCTGCTTCCTAATATGTGAAAGCCTTACCCAAAATAGTTTGGAACCTACTGGAGTAAAAAAACAGAGAAGGAGAATGTGCTGGAACAGTGTTTATTGCTGAAAAAGAGCAATGGGTTCATGAAGGCATCGTGGCATTTGGGGAGGGGACGTTCCTGTAACCGGGGGCAGTAAGCCAAGGAAGAAGGGGAAGTACCTGCGGGGCGGTGGGTCTGGTCCCTGGAAACACTATTGCTTTGCTACCAGGGGGAGAGCATGAGGCTAGAGAATAATTTATTGCATCCTGAATGACAACTGAGAGCTAATTCTGTAAGGCAGCTGCCACGTTGTTGCGTCTCTCTCTGCAAAAGAGCAAGCAAAGCCTAATAAGTGCTAACAACTCTTTGCAATTTTTTACTATAGTGGATGCTTGCTCCTCTCTTCCTCTTACTGGCTGAGCTCAGCTCCAGCTTCCAACCCACCTACCAATGGAAGGATGCTATGACGAATGAAAAAATTACTTGCCAGCAGTGCCCTCCAGGGACCTTCGTGGCACAGCACTGCACCAGAGAGAGAGAGACGGTGTGCGAGCCCTGCCCGGATTTGCACTACACGCATTACTGGAACTACCTGGAGAAGTGCCGGTACTGTAATGTCATCTGTGAGGAGAAGCAGGTAGAAGTGCAGCAGTGCAATTCCACCCACAACAGAGTATGTCAGTGCCGGGAGGGCTATTATTCAGAAATGGAGTTCTGCATCAGGCACTCCGAGTGTCCTCCTGGCTCCGGCGTATTTAAACTGGGTAGGTATCCTAGCTAAACTGCTGAGGCAGAGGCATGTATGCTTGTGAGCATCCTACTGTATTCTGATGTTGCTGCTGGAGAAAATCTAGGAGAAAAAGAGCAGCCAATGATTTCCTGTAGTTCAACTTTTTCCCTCCCTGCTTACCACTATCATGCTGCCCTTGCTGGGATATGACACTGCTCATGGCTTGTTTTCCCAGGAGCTCTTTATTTTTATTTTTTGCCACTTTTCCTTACTACCCTTGAAACACCCCAGCAACGTACTTTGGGACATGGTGATTCCTACTTGCTTTCTTCACCTACCACAGCAGGCAGACCTGGCCAACTCTGGGAAATGATTCAGTGTTCCTGTCTAGTAGCAACATGCCCTGAAATTTCTGCTCTGAGCAGGTGGAAATGCTTTGGTAATTCCTATGAGTTTGTCAGCTCTCTTCTCCCTTGCAGGTAGGTAGCCAAGAATTTGAGGCAGGAAATGCTGGTTATCTGGACTGAAAAGGTTTGCTTATGATATAAAGGCAGGGCTCGTGAATGTATGTAGTTCTGGGTTTGTTTTATGTGTTTTTTATTGTGCAATTTGGATAGGTTATATTTAAAACACGAAATGGATAAATGAGTAGGACAGGTTGCAAAACCGTAAAATCAGTCTTGTAATGATTTGTGTTTCAGAGAGATTCACAAGTCTGGGACTCTGTCCCCTAATGAGATACATGCCATGAAAGGGTTATAGGTCTTTTTCTTTTTTCAGTTGTTTCCTTAACACAAGTTTGTCTGGTTCCTTACTTGCCTCCATTGGTGTGTGTGTGTGTATACACTTTCTAAAAATACAATTTGCATATAAGCATATGTTCCCTCTCACTCTCCTCTGAGTCACCAAGGACTGGTTTCTTTTTGGAAACCACAGCTGAGTAAAATAAAACAGCGTGGGTAACGTTGGCGAAAGCGGCGCGTTTTGCTTTGTGTTTTGAAGATGTTAAGACTCTTGGCAATTTTTCTGTACATGACACAGAAGCGCTCCAGGCTTATAGGCCAGATGAGAAATATCTCTTGTCTTCAGATGACTCTCACGGTTGAGTTTGATAGTTTCCTTGTTTCTGTAGGAAATGACTGTTACAAAATGCAGTGATTCAGCAAAAGGTGAACTAGTTTTCCAAACAATTTGGGAAAATCCTGTGAAACTGGAACATTAAATTTGGCCGGAGGCTTGGTTGTAGCACTGACTAACCATGTGAGCAATCTGGGACATTTGAGGATAAGCAATTTTTATCTTATTTTATTTATTTACATATTCACAAATGGCTTCTTGTGTGGGGTGTTATGGCACCGCAGCCCAGATGTCCTAATTCCCCAGGAAGGGCAGAGCTTCGCTGCAGGTAGAAAGAGTGCTGAGGCTGTGAGCGTCTGCGTGAGCCGGACCCTGGGGCGCGGGGAAGGCACTGCCCCGGGGGCACTTTGCAGGGCTTTGACTGGTGCAGACCCTGTCCCTTTGGAGCAGTAGCTCCAGTGGCTTGGGCAGACCTTGCTGGCTTTCAAGTTGGACAAATTCTCTGATCTGTGTGTGGTTCCTCTAGGGTTGTTGTGATTATTTGGTTTCCCACTTACAAATAGTGACCCATGTGGTGGGGTGATCATCTGAGCAGGTAAGTCATCTACTGTTAGAGATGAAGAAAGAGCCTGAAGTAGGTTGTAACAAGGTAAAAACCTTGCTCTTAACTAGCCGTATGAAGAGGAGATGAAAACAGGTGTGAAATTTGGTTGCGACAGCCATTGCCACTTCTTTCAAAGAATATAAAAGACACCCTGGACAGAATCTTGCCGACACGTCATTTTTGTGAAAAGGCAGCAGGTCTGGCCCTGAGCCTTTAGTGGGAAAACACAGCACTGCAAAAGCAAGCAGAGCACTGAAGCCTTCAGCAGCTTTTACTTTCACTTGGCTAGGAGCCTCCCGGCTGTGTTACACTGTGAATCAAAGGACTGTTTCAGCAGTCGGCTTACTTAGTGCTGGCTGATGTGTTTGAGGTGGCCCTTTCCACCAGCAGGTGATATTTCCTCTTATGTCTGGAGGCCTATGACAATTCATCAGCATGTGTCAAATGCTTTGGCATCAGTGCTTGGAAAAGTGACTAGACAAAGTGTTGCTGTTTGTCCTGCAGTTTGACACACGCTTTTCAAGGTGGGGGGTCACAGACAATGACCGTCTGCAAAACATTGCCCTCATGCTCAAATGCTCTCTGATGCTCTTCACTCAGCTGACGTTGGCCATGACTTATGATGGAGTCATCACTGGGAACACAGAGGTGTGTGGTTGGGGAGGGAAATGCTGACTCTCCCTTTGCTGCCCCTGTGCTCAGGTACCTCCTTCGAGAACACCCAGTGTCGTCCCTGCCCCCGGGGATTCTTCTCTTCCTCCAACTCCAGCACCAAGCCATGCCAGGCCCACCAGGACTGCTCGCAGCAGGGGAAGATGACCAACGTCCAAGGAAATCAGTACCACGACACGCTCTGCACCTCCTGTGGAATGGGGAGAGGCAACAGCACGCAGGGACCAGGTGAGCCCGTGGGCACGTCGCCGGTCGGTCCGGCACAAGGGTCTCTGCGGGTAGAGTGGGGAGATGCTGGAGCCGTGTTGTTGCTGGGACGAGCATGAACTTACTGATGTCTTTCCCACGTGGATGACAAATGAGATAAAATTACTTTTAAAAGTACAGAGTGATAACTACAGAGGAAAAAATATAGTCTCTCTCCCTCGCTCACCTTCACATACCTTCACCTTAGGGCAAGGAATGAGTACAGGGTTTGAGCAACAACCGCTTCTCCTCTGGGCTGCGGTACCAAACCACATGCAGGTTCCTTGCCCACTGAGAATACGGAGTTGGCAGTGAAATCCCATGGGTGTTTAGCAGTGACTTTGATAACTGGAGAAAGCTGCCAGCACACACAGACAGGTCTTCCAGTTATTTGCTCTGTTGCCCGTAACTGATTGCTTGCAATCATGTAAATGTACCCAGTGTGAAGGGCCATACCACCAGAGAGCCTGCTGGTCATCACCCAGCTCAATTTCTGGCTTGCCTGGGTTCACTTCCTCTCCTGGTCTTTCAGCCAATCTTTCTGGAAATTCTTATTGTTGCCTCCAAAGTACAAGGTACATCCGAGCCTCAGCGTAACTTGGATTTTGGCCTGTTATGTGGAAAAAGCAGAGACGCTATCAGCTGCTTCACAGTGACAACACAAAATGTAGTGCTGAGTTTCACTGGAGTCTGAAAGCTGGGCAAGAGCCTTCAGTTGGCACAGATAAGGCAGGAGAGGTGGGAGAGTGTACGGCTCCTGAGAGCTGTTCTGTAACCTGCATCCGCAACGATTTAGGGGATGAGAAAGGGACTGGGTCTTTCATGTGCGAGCTAATTCAAGGGCCTGGTATCAGGTAAGGTGAGCCAGGCAGCCGTTTGAGACCGCCTGCTCTACCCTGAATGAACAGCTGATGTTAAAAGGAGACAAAGTCTGCTCTTCCGATGTCAGTGAATCTTCACAGTCTTGGACTTCAAAAACAATAGCTTCCCTTCAACTGCCCTGCAGCAAGAAGGATTTTCCCCCAGCAGTGTATGAGAGGAGCTGGTCTTTCAACCCTCTCCTTCCCAAGAGCTTTATGCAAAAGTATTTCAACAAACTGGCCTAGCTAGCATGTGGCATTTCTCATTAAGAAGCGTGACTCATGCCATAAGCCACTTGCCAGGAGCATGATCCTGGTGGAGGGAGTGGGCATCAGATGAAAATCTCTGTCATCAGCACGTGCCCTTTCCTCACTGCTTGCTGACAGCATGATCCTAGTGGGGAGAGAGGACGTGAGATGAAAATCAGCAGCAGCACGTGCCCGTTCTGCTTATTAAGCAATAATGAGCTTCAGATCGGCTGTTGAGCTATTTATAGAGATACAAGTTCTGTGAGCAGTGGGGAGCTGAATGGTATTTTTAACTCCGGGTCTTCAGATGATTTCACTGAGTAGGGAAGGTGCATGGGCACTTGTGCTTCTCTTTTGCACAGACAATTGCAGGCACACTTAAATAATGAACTCCAAGTTTGGAGGCGGGTGGGAGGGTCCAGGCAAGTCCAACCCAGTATAACCAGTGCAACTGTTCCCAGTTTACCCCGCTAGTCTCTCCCTTAGTGGTTAATAGTTGGATGGGCCTGTATAGGATGGGCCACTGCTGGGAAATTTTGCCTGCTGCGAGAGCTGGATCCAGTCTTCCAGGGTACTTAGCTGGCAGAGACGAATTTTTTTATGTGATGGTGCTATTCTTGATGCTTTCCTTCTCTTCTTCCTTCCAACCTCATCTTCTCTCTGCAAAGACTTATTATTCTGACGTGTTTATCCCGTAGTGCACCTGCCAGGCATCCCAAGCTGGCAGCTCGCCCTTTCCCCTGTAGTTACAGCGAAGTGTGAGTCTGGTGCGAGTTCGATACCTCCGAGCAGCCTGGGGCTGCCAGTCGCACCCTGCCCGGGCCCCACGTCCTCAGCTGTGTGCGTGGGCAGAGATGTGCAAGCAGCTCTGTTTGTGCAGCTGCTCTGGGCTGTAAGTGGCCGTATGAGCTAACACATGCTTTGGAAATTAGGTGACAAGGGCAGAAGGTTTCCTGGCAGGACTCAGCGTGCTTGAGCCCTTGGCCTGAACTGGCCGTTCCTGGACGGAAGTACCCAGGTCAGGACAGGGTCCCGTGGAGGGAGAAGGGCAGCAGCAGGGTTAGCTGGTTTGTTCCTTGCTTCAGACTGGTCTCCCGGTGTCATGTTGTGACCTCCCCTCTAACCTTCAGGAGGTTTTCTCCTACCAGCTCTAGAAGAAGAGGACTGTGAACAAGCCGTGATAGACTTTGTGGCTTACCAGAACATCCCCGTGAGAAAGCTGAAGCGCCTGCAGCAGATCCTCGAGCACGCGCCGCGGAAGCACGTGCCGGGGAGCAGGGCAGCCATCCAGGAGAAGTTCAGGGCTTACCTCATCCAGCTGAAAGAGGGCCACTACGAAGTCACCAGGGAGCTGCTGGATGCACTGCGAGCCACCAAGCTGCACTCAATCGAGGAGAAGGTCCGGGAACGCTTCCTCTTGTACTGAGAACATGAACTGAACTTTTCAGGTTTCGGGGGGTTTTGTGTTGTGTGTGTGCGCGTGACAGAGAGAGTGTGTATGTGGTTTTTTTTTTTTTTCTTCACTGTGGCTTCATTAATTTATTACTCCTTCAAAAACTAACTTGAAATGCACCACGGAGAAGATGAATGATGGGTCAGAGTTGCACTGTGCTCTGTGGCTGTTAGTCCTGGTCTGCGTGCAGGTGTGTATCACTCTCTGTAACTGCCTCAGGTGAACCTTGGTTTGCTGTAAACAGTAGTGTGTCTGGGCAAGGAGCCGTCATGTGTGCGTGGAGCTCACGGAGATCCTGGGCCACCTCTGGGCGCTGGCTGTTTTATTTTCTGGCGCTCAGTACAGGTCAATAGTTTATCAGAAGGGAAACACACGACCAAGGTCATTTTTCTGGGGAAGGACCCTGTTCCCCCTTTTTAGGCTACTGTGCAGCTTAAACAGTCTAGTTTTGTATTTTCATTATTTAATGGTATTTTCTGCAGAGGATTCACTTGCATTTGTTTGTCACACTGGTTTTGAGAAAGGAGTTTGCTGAGACAGTTTGGGTGTAGGACGCCCCTACAGTCACTGGAACAGCTGGCTTTAAATTTATGTCTAAACTACCTGATTTTGTACTGTATATGAAATACGTTTTGTAAAGAAAAAAAGCAAGAAGTTATTTTATTATAAGAATCTGTCACCAAAGCCTTTTCCTAGTCTTATTTGGGTGGGCGAGAGGGCTGTTGTGAGTCCCAGACTATCTTCCGACTCTTGCTTGTTTCTACCCAGTTTTCGCATGTGCCCGCACCCTGCGATTGTAAAACAGCAGCCCTGGGCACCAAACCAAAGAGCAGCAAAAAGAGCCTTTGTGAGCCAAGGGCAAGGATGAACGAGCGTGGTGTAGGTTGTCTGCATGCGGATTTGCATCCGTGCACAGAGTCAAGCAGCACCACCAGCGTGGGCAGGACGCAGCACGCGGCTCCTAGGCAAATCCGATACCCGGTCTGGCCCCGTAGGCACGGCGCTGCAGCGCGCCATGGCCGTGCAGGCGCATCGCCGTCGCCTGCTTGGCGAGCCGTGCTTGGCCAGCGAGGATGCGCTGCTGCGCACGCAGGCCCCTCAGCC